CATGGACTGATCCAGAACCCCCCCAAACACACACACACAGGTTTCAGACCCCAGCAGACGGGTCAGAGTAGCTTTTATAGAGATGGGGGCCCACAGGAGGCCTCTGAGGGCCCCCATCCTCTCCTGCTGCTCAGGGTTCTGCCCACTGATCTCTATTTATTGCCCGTTGGTAGTATGGTGTTAAAGTGAAGCCACTGGCCGCCATATTGGTACTCCCTAGTTAGACTGGTCTCAATGTAAACAATCTGTGAGCTGCAGCAGCAAACAACCATCATGTTCTCATTTTCAGGGGGAATTTAAAATAAAAATAAATTCATCACTTTAACAGACTGGCTGCTTCATAGCATCAGTAGATTAACTTAACTTACAATAAATAAATCGGCCAATCACATCGCAGAGTCATTATGAAGTCTATAAATCATCTAATATAACATATTATACAAATTCATCGCAATAAAATTAATGTGTTAAAGGAGCAGAATAATAGAGATGATGAACATGTGATATAAATGAATTGATGACATTGATATGTAATTATATCTTACATATAAAAGATTTTAAATCAAGGCTGAATTACCAGTCCATGTATTTTAATGCTTTAGTATTTTCCTATTTGCAAAGATGATTACATAAATACAATAAAAAAAATGACATCATCCACTGAATAAAGAATTACGTTAACATTTCCCAGTGAATTTCTTTCCATTTCCTCTATTTTCTAACCTTAGACCCAATGTCAGCGTCTAACTCAGTCAATGTCTTCCAGTCAGTCTGAGATAGCCAGACTATAGTTTAGTCTGCAGACTAAAGTTAGTCTGCAGACTAAACTATAGGATCCATCGGCTATAGATGGATTTATTCTGACTGGGAAATGACCAGTGGAACGTCTTCCTGCAGACAGAAAACTGCTGGTTTCTGCAGCCAGATGCTGCATTTTTATGCCGCGTCTCTGTGAGAGTGGGGAGTACCAAGATGGTGGACGATGGCTTCACTCTTCAGGCCAACAGCCACTTTCGACACTTTCTGAATTATGATCAGGAAAAGATCATTAATTCTGTTTAAACAGTAAAAGTTTTCTATTAAAGATCAGCTGATTAACCTTTAATCTGTATAATCTAGATTAATCTCTAATCCGAGTTTATCTGGATGATCTACATGTGTTGCTGTTTTATCATCATCATCATCATTTATTCTTCTGACTCATAAATAAAATAAACCATTCGATCCTTTAAGGCCTTTATTTTATTTTTATATATATTTATATTTTTAATGAAGACATGTACAGGTTACAATAATCCAAAGATAATCTCAGATTATTGCTGCAAAAAAAAGCATTTGTTACTCTGAGCAGGTGAATCAGAACATCTAGCAAAGGAAACATGGTTTCCATGGAAGCTGTCCTCTGATTGGCCGACGGCCGATTCCTCTGATTGGCCGACGGCCGCCTTCCTCCGATTGGCCGACGGCCGCCTTCCTCCGATTGGCCGACGGCCGCCTTCCTCCGATTGGCCGACGGCCGCCTTCCTCTGATTGGCCGACGGCCGCCTTCCTCCGATTGGCCGACGGCGGTCATGTTCACAGCTCAGATTAGAGTCCAGGGAACCGGTCGGATCCAGATCCATCTGTTTAACAGATCAAGGAGCCGCTGCTCGGGAATCTGGTTCTGATCCGGTTCTGATCCGGTTCCTCGGACCAGAGTTCTATGGACTCCGGCTGACGTAGAAAAACATGAATAGAAGCGTCTGTTTACAAATATCTACAGTCTGAACAGAACCGGGACGGCCCGTCTGGACCGGTCCAAACCGCTCCCAGCGATCTTTGTCCCGTAGTTCTGAGCTGGTTCCGGTCCAGCGGGCCCCTCAGGGGCCTCCCCCCGGGGGGCTGGTGGAGTTGCCGGGGTGGGCGGGGCCGTGGTACAGGGCCACATTAGGGATGATGACGAAGGCCAGGATGCCGACCAGCATCAGCGCCACGGTGATGGTGATGATGGACGCCACCACCACGTAGTAGCACTGGTCCGAGCGGAACAGGCGGTGGACACGCCCCCTCATCCTGTTGGGGGGCCGTCCCACATCCACCACCGCAGCCGGCGGCGCCCCCGGCTCGGCAGCGTCGGGCTCGGCTGGCGAGCGGGGCTTGTTGAGCGGCAGGGCGGGGGGCTTGCTGCCGGGCGGCGGGTGCTTCAGCATCAGCTTCCCTTTGCTGCGCTTGAAGCGGACGGACAGCGCCCGCCGCATGTCCGCCGGCAGCTTGCCGATGATGTCCTGGTTGGTGCCGAGGCGCGGCAGGTCCCGCCCCTTGCGCAGCTCGGTGGGAAGGCGGCACACGGGGCAGGTGAGGCTCTTGATCTCGGCGGAGCTGACGTTGATGCGGGCGAGGCACTCCAGGCAGAAGGTGTGGCCGCACGCCAGCAGCTTCGGCGTCTTGAAGACGTTGTCGTAGGAGCAGAAGCATACGGCGCACTCCGTGTCCTCCACCACGTCCACGGGCCGGTTCTGGACGCGCTCCACCTCCTTCCCATTCCGACGGCGGGTCTCCTCGCTGCGTCCCCGCCGTTCGCCGTGGTGACGGTCCCGCTCCCTCCTCCTGCTGCTGCGGTCAGCCCGCTCCGTGTCGCTGCTGCGGGACCGCCGGGCCTTGGTGGCCCTGCGGTTCTGCGGGGGCGGGTTGGGTTTGGGTTTGACGTTCTGAGGCGGCGCGGTGCCGCGGCCACCTTCCCCGTGACCGCTCATGGCGGAGGTCCGGGCGGGTCCGAGTCTAACACCAGCTGTGGAGGAGAGAGGAGCTGGGTCAGTCAGAACCAAGCGGGTCTTTCTCCTCAGAACCAGCAGAACTACTGACCTGATGAGGGAAGGAGGTCCGATCAGAACCGATCCGGCTGCTCAGGTCATCCGGAACCATCAGAAAGTCTCATTCCAGAGGAGCGAAGGGAACGGTGTGATCCGCAGCGCAGAGCGGCGGCTGTGTTCTGCTGGCTGAGCTCAGCCTCCTGCTGGTTCCTCCTGGTCGGACCGGTTCTACCGGTCCCTCCTCCTCCTCCTCCTGTTTCTGTCTGCGGGCGGAGAGAAAACATCCAGGTCCTGCAGGACGGAAAGCAGGTGTTCTCAGAGCGAACGCAGCACAGCCCTTCCTGCAGCAGGTGACCCGGCGGAGGGAAAATTCCACTGCAGCTGCAGGAAGCAGCAGGACTCGGACCTGCAGCTCATACCTGTCATTCCTCACCGCCCGGACCGGACCAGGGAACCGGTTCCAGCCTTAAACAGCGACCTGCAGCGCGCCGCCAGAGCTGTTGAAAATTAACCCGTCAGCTTCCTGGTGAGGCTGCGGCATAAAGTCGACCTTTGACCTTTAGAAATGAAACGCTCAGACCTTCAGAAAACTTTATTCCAGCCAAAAACAGACGGTGAGCGAAATATTCAGGCCAGCAGAGCCGCTCTGCTCCCTCTAACCGTCTGAGGGGCGTTCAGGAGCAACGGGAACATTCACAGTCCGATAGGTGGCGGAGGAACCCGCTCCGAGTCCCACCCGAGTCCTTAGGTCCCACTAGGCCCGTCACAAAAGGACCTGAGCCGAGTCCCGGTCCGTTCTGGGCCCGGTCCGTTCCGGGTCCCGGTCCGTTCTGGGCCCGGTCCGTTCCGGGCCCGGTCCGTTCCGGGCCCGGTCCGTTCCGGGTCCCGGTCCGGTCCCGGTCCGTCCTCAGCCCAGCTCCTCCCTGGTCTTGCCCTGTTTTCGGGGCATCTTCTTGCTGCTGCTGTCCTCCAGCTCCTTGCTCTTGTAGTAGTGCGGCGCCACCTCCAGCAGCCAGCCGCTGTCGATCTCAATCACCTAGAAAACAAAAGCAGAGATTCAGGCTGAAAGCAGCCGGTCTGACTGGATCAGAACCTTCTAGAACCGGATCATCTCTGACCCTCCTCACTGATTAAAGGCCACGTTTCCTTTTATAAACTGATCTCTAAACCAAACTTCCATAATTCCTGATGCTTATCAACCTTTTTCCTTCCACCTAACTTTCCATGGAGCTGCTGCTTGTGTGACTCGGACCTGCCGTCCAGGTCGGGTGAAATGATTCCCAGAACTACCAGCAGCTGAACAAACTGGATCCTTTGTTGTTGTGATTCTGTGACGCATCAAAGGTTGGTGTTCTATAAACAGCAACATCGCAGGCTGAGGAGCGTTCGCCACTGAGGAGCGTTCGCCACTGAGGAGCGTTCGCCACTGAGGAGCGTTCGCCACTGAGGAGCGTTCGCCACTGACAGGTCAGCATGGGGGGGGCGTCCAGGTGACCTGATAACCCCTGATGATGGAGACTCAGGTTACAGGATGACCTGCAGCCCAAACATGTAACCAAAGTGATTCAGCGGTTTCCCTCTGGCCCCGCCTCTAAGGCGTGTTGTTGACATGACAAACATTCCTGCGGCGCGGCGGCGTGCAGCCAGCTCACCTGTCTCATGAACTCCTTGGTGGTGAAGACCAGCTCGTGGTAGATGAGCCAGCGCGGCTGCTCCTCGAACAGCGAGCTGTTTGGGTGGACGTACACCGTCTGCTGGTGCTTCACCGTCTTATAGCCGCCTTTGCTGAGCCGCGCCGTGTGGTAGAAATACCCGGCCGTCACCGCCTGCCGTGGATCAGAACCAGAACCCGGTTAAACACAGAAACAGAATGAGCTTAGACCTGAGCAGGAGGGCAAGCAGTGAGTCAGCAGCTGGAGAACCGGTCTGGCTGCTTATTGTCTGATCTAAGCCTGCAGAGAGACTGAGCAAATATTGGCTGTTTGACGCCACAGAAATGGATTCAGGAATCCCATCCTGGGTCTGAAGTCCAGCAGGTTTCTGGGAACGCCAGGAACCCCCCCCCTCCTGCTTCTCCACCTGACGGAGAGAGAAGGTCCATCGCTGCTGGTCAGCTGCTCCTCGCAGCTCTTCTTCTGCAGCGATGTCAACCTTTTTCTGATCCAGAACCAGAACATCAGAGCTGATTGTCTTCCTGTTCCCTGGAGCATATGGCGGTCAGGCACGGCGGCGGCAGTGCCATGGTGTGGGCCTCTGCTGAGTGCATTGGAGAACCAGAGATCCAGAGCCCAGTCCAGATTATTTACACCGATTAATGGCGACAAGGCAGCAAGATGGAGCTTATGATGATCTCATCCGGTCCGATAAAAATGCTACGTTCAGAAACGCGGATTTCTGCTGCTTCATTTCTGATGCTCTTTAGTTTAGTTCTGAAGCTGAAGCATCTTTGCTGCTCTAGCTGCTCGGTGGTAA